AAAATATCACGTTTTAAATCAAACATCTCTGTGTATGGTGCTTAAACTATTTTTTATTTTATGAAGTATAGGTACAATGAGAGAGTTTTTATGTGTTTACAGAAATGAATGTGATGTGTCTTGTCTACTTCAGTAATGGACAAATGCTACGACTATGGCCATACTTGCCACACCAAGAACTATTGCTTAATGTTAGTAAATGCCTTGACATTTGCTCAATTATGAATATTATACCATTGACCATGCGACAGATCAAGCGGTTTTAAATTTGAATTTTTAGGCGTTGTTGATTCCTTGTTGATAAAAGAATAGATGAATTGGCAAGGGATCATGATATAAGTTAAAAAAAAATGAAGAAGGAAGAAAAGTTTTTCATTCTCGTATTATATTTATAGCTTTTGTTATTTCGACATGTTAAAATGAAAAGGATGAAATCACAGCGTATCACTCAAATCTTGGCTATTTATTTCCCTTCTCACTGTTAGTCCACTCACATTTCATACAGAACGGTAATACTAGCAAATCAAACCTCAGCACAGTGTACATGCAATCATAGCTGCTACAGGATGAACCATGTCGAACGGATTCGTAAAGAGCTCTTTCTTGCAAAATACATTATCAAGTTACACCATTAGTATCAAGACGTAAATATCCACATTTCGTGAGTTTAGATGACCAAAAAGAAAAATGGTCAGGGGGATAGCCAAACTGTCAACTTTGTCACAGCCGTGTTAATAAACAAGTCGTAAAACGCCCACATTTGATGCAATCTGTAATCTTTTTGTTGCAGAATCTTATATATAGATCTTGTGTCGCTGCTTAATTTCTGATTAGACGCCTATGTTGCTTCGCACCAAACGAGCGTAACTGATCGTGTGTAAATGATGAATGTTCCCACTAAGCGTTTGGTCAAAAGGAAGGGAGCTCCTCCTCTTTTTAATACTATTGTTCTGAATGCCTTCCGTGTGTACGTTTGGAACGCCCTTCAACACCGCTTCTAGTAAATAAACATGGCACACCAGCTGATGGCCTGGATTTGCACTCGTAATATGCAACAAACAAATCAAGGTTTTGCCATCATATGAGGAATAAACAATCTTAGAAATCAATCAAAGTGTGCAGTTACCCTGGGCTTGGTAGTAAACATTCATTTTTGGAGCTGCTGAAAACCGTTTCTAATTTTTATGTTTGCTAGCATAGAATCATGTAAATAAAATACCACAATTTATTAAACCTAGCTCCCTACTGTGATCATGTAAATATGCAGTGGCCTATTAATATTTCTCGAAAAAAGCCGAGGCAAAGACCTTAGCAAAAAACCTCCAATTCTAGATCTGACTCTTGCAAGATGCTCTGCGTCTATATTTATGGAAACTACTCGTGTAGAGATAGATAGAATTCTTGCACTACCTATTACAACTCGATATTATACAAAACATAGCATAATTTGGCTACATTCAGCCCGTGTTTTTTTTGTGTTAGAAGCCGTTTTAGGTCACCAGAATAGCACCATATAGTTGCTTTTATTCAGCATCACACTACTGACACCTTTGCTCAACTTTTTTGGGACCAAAAATACATCGACCAAAATCCTTAAAAAAAACAATGAGGGGTGCCTCATGAACTTTACCAAAAATTGAACAATTGTGTTTTTGACCGCAAAAATGAAGACTTTTACTATGGCATATCTTAAATCAAAATGATCCTCTTGATCCAAAGTAGTACCTGAAAGTTCGTTTGTGAGACTTTGATATGCAAAATCTGGATATATTGGCCATAGTCATTATTTTATATTTTTGAATATTGCTCAATAGATTTATTCAAAACATCTATTATATTGACACTACTAGATACGCTTTGGAAAGTACTTACAGAATGCATTAGAAAGTATATGATGATTAGCACAACTTACATAGTCGAATCTGGCAAAAATAAATCGATTGTATCAATTTAGATCAAAATCTGGCCAATATTGAACAAACTGTCAGCGGCACTTAAATACAATTGGCTGCTGCTGCTGCTAACATGATCAATGCCTCCCTTAGCATAAACCCGTCAACCCACTGTGAATATTGAAAGCCTCTGGCTCTAGCCAAAAACTACCATAGCAATGTAGGCTTAGTATGGCATTGCGAGAGTGTTAAAGCAATAACGGCTTAGAAGGATAAAAAAAAGGCGTTTTATGAGAGGGAGTCTGGATTGAGACGCGGCATAAACCACAGACATCACATCCCATTTTTTTTATCAAACTGTTGGCATGTGAAATAGGTAGATCAAAGCAAATGTACAACTGCTTCTTGTGCCTGACAAAACTTAGTAGTATGAAGCGTAGTATTTACAAACACAGCGCTTAAATCAGTCTTTCACTGCCATTACAGGCCATGTCTTCCGACGTGACTTGAAGTTGTTATCATGCAAATGTTGAGAACATAACTAGTAAATGGAATATAATATAACATGCTGTATTTATTTGTGTTATTTACTCATTCTATTAATCCAATAAAGCTCTATTCCAATGATAGCAATAGTGCTAGTTATTGTCCAATATGAATGGTGCTAGCATGATCTTTCCTGCATGAGCATCTAGACATCGAGCCAAATAATTCGAAGTATTTGTTATACTGGCTCAAACACAAGGTCTGATAGTAGCAGTGGTCTTACAATTCTCGCGTTTTGAGTGATCTCATTTGATTGTTAAACGATAACAAGCTATAGATGATATTCCATATTTGTGAATACATGAAAACAGCCAACATTTTAAGTTTGTTTACTTTAGCGTATTTGATTGATATCAATCACTATATTCTAAATGAGATGTGTTGGGCTTTGCTTCTATTTTTAACATGCTTTTAGTTCTTCACACTCGACACGCACTACTCGCAAGACATGACGATCTTTCGCTGGATGATTTTTAGCGCATGTTTACCTTGGCGATCCTCTTTGATTGGCCATAAAAAAGATGTGCTAAACAAAGCTTGGTAATCTGTTATTTGCCATGTCTCTATTTAAAGCATTGGAGCTAAATAAATTCTGTATATTGCCAGGAGAGGGGACCGATCTTGCATTTAGTTGCCAACTTGATTTGGTGAATTGACATCATCTCCGATCAATTAGCAGAAAATGGCCATCATGCTATCATGTTCTAGCACTAGAAGATAGACACACTTGGCAAACTAAATAAATGAAACATTCTGCTTTAATGGTACCATCATACAGAGACCAGGCTAAAAAGGAGGACATTTTTCAGTATAAATACGTGTCAATTATCAGCCCTCATTTGCTTTTTCCATCATTATCCATCAATCCTAAATACATACACACATCAAAATGAAGTCTTTCTCTACATCTTTCCTCGCTGCTATCGTTGCTGCTGCTGCTCTCGTCTCTGCTCAACAACCTGCCACTGATTCTTCCTCTGCTGCTCCAAGCACTGAAAGCGGTGCCGCTGGCGGTGCAACCGGTGGTGCAGGTGGTGCTACTACAGGTCCTCTCTCAATCACTCAACCTACTCAAGGATCTCAATGGAAGATTGGTGGAAACGAAACTGTTACATGGCAAAACGTGCAAGAGGGTGTTGACAAGGTGCTCATCAATTTGATGAAGGGCGATCCTAATGCTCTTACCTTGGTCCAAGCTTTGGCTACTGAAATCGACGCCTCTGCTGGTACTACTCAAGTTCAAGTTCCTGAAAATGCTACTGAAGGTTCTGATTACTCTTTGGCCATTGGCAAGGATCCTAGCCAAATGGCATACATTGGTGGTTTACAATTGTCCAAGAATGGTGGTGGTGATGCTTCCTCTTCTGCTACTGGTAGCAATGCTGCTGCAGCACCTGCTGGTGGTGATGGTGCCTCTGCTTCTGCTAGTGGTGATGATGCCTCTGCTTCTCCTGCTAGTGGTGATGATGCCTCTGCTTCTCCTGCTAGTGGTGATGATGCCTCTGCTTCTTCTGCTAGTGGTGATGATGCCTCTGCTTCTGCTGGTGATGCCTCTGCTGCCCCTACCGGCGGTGATGCTGCTGCTGCCCCTGCTGGTGGTGATCAAACCGCTGCTGCTCCTCCTTCCAAGCGTCAAGCTGCCGAAGAGCCCAATGGCTCTGGTGCCTCTAATGCCGCTGAATCGGGTGCTGCTGGTAGCGGTGGTGTAGTCTCATCTGCTATCTCCAAGGCTTCATCTGCTGTTGCTGCTGCCACATCTGCTAGTGGTGGTGCCTCATCTGCTGCTGAATCCGGTGCTGCTAGTACCACATCTGCTGCTGCCTCTGCTGCTCCTACTGGTGCTTCTAGCAGTGGTATCGCTGCATCTGCTTCATCTGCTGGCGGTGCTGTCAAGAGCGCTGCCTCCTCAGCTGCTGGTAGTGCTGCCAGTGCTGCCTCTTCTCCTTCATCTGGTTCTTCAGCTGCTGAAAACTCTGCTGGTCGTAACTTGATGTCTGGCTTTGCTATGGCCATCCCTGCAGCTGTCTTGGCCATGACAGGTTTCTAAATTGATTCTTGTAGACTTACTCTTAAATTATACATTACAACATTCCTATTATCCCACAACCCGCCTTGTACCATCTTCTACTCTGTAAACAGTATTTAAAATAAACAACATGATTTATTCGATATCATATATACTGCGTCTTGTGTGTTGAGCATCACTGATTTATAGTGCGTTTTTAGTTGATCAAATTGTCGAGCGATTATATGTGCCAAATGATTGTATTTAGAAATACTATACAGCGTATCGCGTCCTGTAATATTTGTAGAAACAAAAGTATGATAGAAGATGATTGCAGTTCATCAAAACGTTGCAAGGAACCTTCGTTGTAGTCGCATATCAAATCCTACCGTTAGTCCTGGCCATGCTTTCTAGAACAACCACATCATTGAAAAGCAGTACTAATTTCATCGCTGTTTCAGCTTTAAAAAAGACAAACAGCCAAACAGCATAATGAACCTGTTTCTTTTTCTATTATCTTCAATTTTACAAGCAGAAAGGAATACATTGGAACATCCATGCCTGATATGGCCCCCTTATTCTCTTTGTTTGCAATCATTCCTGTGATGCTTGGTGGGTTCTACTTTTATGCTCATCAACGCACCTTTGGACATTTGGACATCTCTACATCTTCAGTTGCATATAACCGCACTCGCTATCATGACCTGCTTGACTGGACAAAGTACGCGCTTACTATCGAAGGCGAACCTACGCAAATTCACTCGGGCGAGTTCCACTACTGGCGTGTGCCTGACAAGGAACGTTGGTCTTCTATTTTGAAGCAATACCGTGCAGCAGGCTTCAATACAATTCGCATATACTTTCATTGGGGCTATCACTCACCTGCAGAAGGCGTCTACAACTTTGACGGCAACAGAGACATTGAATACCTCTTGAACCTGTGCGAAGAACTCAACTTGTTTGTATTAGCTGCACCAGGACCTTACATTTGTGCCGAAACGCAAGCTGGTGGATATCCTGGATGGCTAGTTGCTAAGCGTGATCTCAATATACGTCATAACTATATTATGCTTTGGCGCGTGTACGACCAAAAGTTTGCAGACTACGAAATTCAATGGTTGAACCAAATTTTGCCCATCATTGCAAGACACCAAATCACAGAGAACAAGGCGGACAAGAAGGGATGTGTGTTGGGCTTGCAAATCGATAATGAGCTCTTTGAAACGATGGCCAATATGCTGCCTGTTGGTTTGCATGATCAAATGCGAGTGTTGGCAAAGGCTGCAAGAGATGCTGGTATCACTGTTCCCTTGTTTTCAAACGACGGCTTTGAAGAGGGTGGATGGGTGCCTCGTCCTGAACTGGATGGCCAAAAGAAGAAGAAGTTTTGGAGCAGAGATAAATTTGGATTGGATCTGTATGGATTTGACAAATATGTCAGTAAGTATTGGCGGTTTATATAATATATGGGACAGTTCTCTCATGACAAATGTCACTTAGTTTTTGCACCTTCTAGTTCGCCCAAGTCTTGGCTGATTGACAGTGGTGTTTCCGTTGCTTCCTGGGACGATTGGAATCCAAAGAACATGGAACACTCAATGGACAAGCTGGAGAAGACAGTGCGCAAATTTGGAGGAGGCGCAAAGGAATCACCCATGTTTATCCCTGAACTGCAAGGTGGCTGGTTCAACCATTATCAGCTTCAACACACGTACGATCACATTTACGACTATTATGGAGATGAATACACAAAGCTGTTGGTGGAAACCTCCTTAGCACAAGGTGTTACCATGGCGAGTGTCTATATGATCTATGGTGGTACCAACTGGGGCACATTGGGCGATCCGTAAGTCTATTCATGCAGTAGAGTAGAGCAGAATGCTGATGATTTGCCATTTAGAGATGTCTATACTTCCTATGATTACTCTGCTTGTATACGTGAATTTGGTATGCTCTCCTCCAGAGGCAGAAACTTGCGCAAAACCATCCTCCTCACTCGCTCTTTCGATCCCTACTTTACAAAGACAGAGCGTGTCGAGAAACCCAACATCAAGACATCCATTCCTCATACCCTGAATCTCCAGCGCTCCTCTGTTGGCAGTGACCAAGATGTCGTGTTTACCTTTTTCAGAAACTTTGATCGTCAAAAGCGCGAAACGTTTGATGTCACTGTGGAGGAGGCAGCTGGTATCTTTTCTATGGGATGCTACTTGCCTTACAAGACTTCGTTTATCGCTGTTGGCAACTATACTGCACAAAACGACTTGCACTTGATCCTGTCTACGATCCCTATTTTGACTCGTATTGTGGACAAGGAGACCAAGCAGGAGATTTGGATTGTAGAGCCCAACATTGTGGGTGCCATGGCCTTTACCAACAAGGAGGTCAAGGTCACTGGTAACATGCAAGACGATGCTTTGCGCACAGAGGGCCCAGCAGTGATTCTCACATTCGAAAAGGACCATGGATGGACAAAGATTGAAACCTCAACAGGCAGTTTATACATTGTTGGTCTGACCAGAAAGGATGCTGGTACTCTGTTTGCTGAATTTGAGGAGCCTTATTGGAATCAGGGCGTCAAGAAGTATCCTGCTTTTGCCGCTTGGGGTGCTGACAACTTTTACTATGACAAGAAGACTCAAAAGTTGGATGTCAATCACAGACGCTCTGAAACTGCTGCTCACATTGTGTCCTTTGGTGACGTTGCTGATTCGCATGCAACAATGGCTACTGATGAATATGATATTCCTATGATCAAGTATGTTGAATTCCACAACAAGCCTGTCAAGCCTGTCTCCATTGAACCCACTCACTGGGAACAGCGTTCTGTCGATTTCCAAAACTTGCCCTGGGAGAATTTGAAGAGCTTCAAGCAGAATACAAGTGCTACATTCAATGCCATTGATTACCATTACACTAGTGGCCATGTGTTGTATCGTGCCGTGTTCAAGACCCCTGACAGCGAGCGCCCTCATGTGAGCTTGTCATTGAATGCTCGTAACCGTGCCACTGTTTTGGTCAATGGCCATGTTGTTGGTGGACATACTACCTATTCTCGTCAGCTGTTCATGCCAGGCGCCAAGATTGGTCCAGATCCATTCTTCTTGGGCAAGCACAAGTATGATTTGACTCCTTACCTCTCTCATTCCGATTCCCTCGAGAACCAAGTCGTGGTGCTTGTTGAGAGCTTTGGTCTGAATCGCCAAGCATTCATCATGAACGATATCCGCAATCCTCGTGGCATTGTCACTACTGATATCTCTGGCCTCAAGGAGAAACCTGAATGGGAGATTACTGGCGTCGATGTGCGCACCTTGTCCAACCCCTATAGTTCGACTGGTTTCCCTGATGAGAATGCTGGAGGCTACAAGAAATACAAGCAAATTGACATGACCGACAAGGAAAGCGCCAGTATCCCTATTTCTGTGAATCAAGGCGTTCAGTGGTTCCGCTTCCGTTTTGACAACGAGCTCAAGAAGTCCATCGCCTCGTACAATGTGCCTCTGCGTCTTCATTTGGACGGTGAATGGACTGCCATGGTCTTTGTCAATGGTGTCTTTATCGCTCGATATTACGGTAATGGAGACGGGCCTCAGCACGATTTCTATCTTCCCGATGACTTGATCCAAGCCAAGAACAATGAAGTCAAGATTCTCGCTTACACTTGGAAGGACACAACAGGCAAACTTTCCATTGCAGGCTGGCCAGTCCTTGCTGACAGTGGCAACTTGATTACCCATCAAACAGACGAAAAGCCAGCTGAATATCTCATTTTCAAGGATCACGTCAGATTGTAGTATAACTATCCTATCTTCTTAATTGTACATCATAGCATTTGATAAAATCTCGACTGTAACACTATCGAAAGAGCAAAACACATTAGAAATTCCCGCAATAGCAGCTTTATTCTGTTGATACAGTCATGTGCACTATCCAAGTTTCATCAAGAAAGCTTGATATGGAGCGAATATGATTTAGTTTAAGCGTGGCAGTGGTGATGGGCGTGGAGGCACAGTAGGAGCTACGGCAGAGGATTCTAAGATGTTGCATATTGTGGTTAATTCTCAAGCTCTTTTGGAATCAAAACCAATGAATCCACTTACCTTTGTTGTACAGTGCAATGGTAGGATCATTCCAAAATTTTCCATCTCGCGGGGAAATAACAACATGATGGTGAGATGTAGCACCATTTTCTTCTTCAAATTCACCATCGTCATTATCTTCCAATGTAGAGGAGGATGTGAGTGGGCCTACGTTGGACGACCCTCTGCCATACACATAAGATCGACTTTGATGGTAGTAAGCATCATCCAGACTGGCAGGGCGACTGTAGTAGCTATCGTTGAGCGAGGAAGCCAATGTCAAGGTGCTGTTCGTGGCGGGGTTGCTGAGGCGCATCAAGGAGCTCGTGTTACTCATGATGGAACTTGTATAATGACTTCCCATGCTGCTTGTTCTACCCGAAGCATATTTGCTGTTGTTGTTGTTGTTGTTGTTGCTGGTGGAGTTATTACTGGGAGGCTCTCGCAACAGACTGAGCTCATCCACGGTGTTCTGGCTGACCCACGGTCGCATCAAGAGATACTGCGTGACGAGGCTCTGTTGCTCCTCAGCATCGAAATCATCCGCACAATCCGTATTATAAATGCCATTCTGATTGTTGATCAAATCACTTGTGCTATTACCGTCTGTGCTACCACTACCAAAACCAATCGCACCTCCTAAACGGCCAAAACTAGATTTGCTTCGATGAATGGCTTGTGATAATGCAGGTCGCACTTGCTGCTTGGTGATCATTTTTGCATTGGCTGCACTTGGCTTTCTGTCGTAAGGTGGAGAGGATTGGAACTTTTGGAGGATCTCGAGGATCTTGCTGATACGAGGATCTTTGTGTAATTGTGCGGAACTGTTGTTGCTATCTGCCTTGCACAATCTGGAAGATGTTCTTATGGGAATTTGTGGAAGACCAGAATGTACCGATTTGGTCTGCTGTTGTTGTTGTGCTTGACCCACGGCTGCTAGCAAGTAGGTCATGTCGTGAATGAAGGTGCCCAGAAAAGGCACGGTGGGTCTCTTGTAGTGCTCTGATTGAATCAAATTGACGCTCTTGCCATTGAGCACCGATGTTGACACGATGCCCATGTGCTCCCTGTATTTTCCATAGTTGTTGGCTTCTGACATGAGTTCCGTCATGGATTCCAGTCTTGATAAGCTTTTTCTCGGAATGTAGGCCCATGTGCGTTTCAGTCTTTGCACAGGAGGCGTCCACAATGCAGATATGATGCCCTTGAGCGTCTGGTAATTGTTAAGATCTTGACATTTACTGGCTACTTTGATCCATTGGTTGATGTGCTGAGCTCGAACAGAGGCTTCTTGTGGGAGCAAAACCGAGTGCTCAATCATGCGAGTAACATAATTGAAGAAATCAGATGAAGCAACCACTCGAGGATGAGGTGTCTTTGGTGCGTGAGAGAGTAATGCCTGTGGAGGAATAGCCAGAAAGATAGCAGACTCAATTCTTGTCAGTTGATAAGCAACTAATCCAGGCTGGAAATGAAGAATGCTAGGGATAGTAGCAGCGCACATGTATAAGGTACGGACACGGTTCAAGGTATGTTTGGCTTCAGCAACGTATGGGGTATATTTGGCGATAGCATCATTCAGCTTCATCTCTTGCTCTTTAGCGTGGAGATTGTCGCCACTCAGCTGGTTTTTCTGTGCACGGAAATCTTTTAATGCTGACTCCAGTGCGTCGAGCTTTTCTTGTAATACAGTATGTGTCGTGAGAAGAGGGGGTATAGGTATAAGTGGAACATGATCAGATTTGATGCCTCCCACTGAGCTTGAGCTGTTGGGTGGTGTTAAACTGTCGCTGTTGTTCGTCTGTGCAGGCACAAGGTGGCAGGCATTGATTTCTCCATCAGGCACAGGTTCATTGTCTTGATACGATGAATCAAGCTGGTATGAATTGGATCGGGTATGTTGTTGTTGTTGCTGTGTTAGTGGTGCTTGTTTGGTGTGGTTGTCTACAAAGAAGGGCTCATTGTTAATCGATAGCCGGTATAACGCAGGATGAAAGGTTACCTTTGGCCGACATCATCATTGCATTGGCTGATGTCGGGATAGGAGTTGTTGTTCTGGTTGTAGTGGTAGATGGTTTAGGTGGCAAGACCGGCTTGCTCACATGAGATGGTTTTGGTGGCAGTGGAGGGGCGATTTTACTTGTTGAAGCAGTTGGGGAGTGGTACTCGATAACCTTTCCAATGTGATCGATACATGAATGCAACACTGATAATAATGCAGCTGAATTTTGTGGTTTTGAAACGATGGCTATCAATGAATTTGAATCAGTTTCAAACTTGAATCAAGCATGTGCATGAGTACCAAAACGATACTAACAGCAATGTACAAATTTTACGTCAAAGAGCGGTTTCATGGCATTTTGTGCTGTAGCTAAAAAACCATTGTATGCATCCTGTGGAGGTGACATTAGTAGTGATTACAAAGCTGTGTATATATCGTCGCCTTGCTGAGACTCACTTTTATTTGACCATTTTCATAATGCTCAAAAGCCAAATTCAAAGAAGACTGTGGATCTTCCATATGTAAATTAATTGAAAATTAGAGATGTGTTGCTATCCTATCAGTATGCGTGCGTGCGTGCGTTGTTGTTGTTGTTGTTGTTGTTGTTGTTGTTGCGTATTGGCACGTACGAATGATCGGATCCTAGCTACAGATAGAAGAAAGGGGAAGAAGCTCTTGTAATGCAAAGAGAAAAAGAAAGAAAGAGACTGATGGCAGTATCTCGAGTTTTAAATGAATAAATTACAAAGGCACCAAACTCTTAAGCCTGGTTACAAGATTGGGTTTCTTTCATTTGGGACCCGAAGAATTAAACACTTCACCCATTGTGTTGGAAGCCATAGCAAGCAGAGAATAAAAGAGAGATAAACCCCTACGCTTATTATTGTTCTCTCCTTCAAAGAACACTTGCAACTCATCTATTTTCTCCTATAATTTTTTTTAAAAAAAGTTTGGCATTTCAAAGCATGATAATTAAATACACCAAAATAAGTTATTCTTAATCTTTTTTTCAAATAACTCGGAAGCTCCTTAATTTCAAATCTCTCGTATCACATCAAATAGATTGTGTGTACAAATCAAGTGGTGCTCATGCTGCCGATTGGCGCTTTGCAAATTACTCAATTTGATAGATTTTCAATCCCGGTGAAAGAGCTTGATAATCAGGAATTGACAATGCATGCAACTTGATTGTAAATGTTTCAAACTAATATACTTTGCCTAATAGCTCTGCTTTATTTACTAATGCGCACAATCGTATTTTAACATTTTGCGTTCTGTATCATGGCTTTATGTTGGATTCAGTTTTTCTGGTTCAAAAAAACATGTCATGTCTGATTAATGGCTGATTTTGTGCTGCAGCTATTGATTTTGGGCGATTGACGTGGGCACGAGACTACTCAAGTCTACTCTTTTGTTGTTATCGACTTTGTTTGGTTTGCAATTAAGGTTGCATTACGCACGCTTATGCGCAAAAACGAACGAACAAGAGAATTAGTAAATTACATTCAAATACCATGTTGGCAGTCAGTGTGACACAAACTCGGATGCGATGCTTGCCAGTTTCAATACATAAACGATCTGACATATAAGTTATGCTATAGACATGCATACGACATGCCACATATCCAGATACATGCTAAAGATGTATACTCAATAATATACACTCAGACATCATGTACTATTGATACAAATTATATAGACTGTACCTATCGGGCGCATGCTAATAGATTGATATAAATTGAAGTGAACTAGACTAGATTCCCATCATAAACAAAGCCCAAAATAAATGTCATCTCAATCAAACCATGCTACCATCAGCAGATAAGCATACATAATAATAGTATTAACATGGTGATAGAAAGGGTTAAATTCTCTAAAAATAAGAAATGACAGATACTAAAGTAAATGTCAAGGGTATTGCAATGTGTTGTAACATAAATATACCTAAAAAGGATACATGCTCAACAATAAGGATCTATTCTTTACGCATGATTCAAAAACCATATATTGAAATACCGTTCTTGATCCATCAGATCAACAACTAAATAACCCAACAAAAATATATAAAGTAATGGAATCACTGGCAACTACTAAACTGCTGCCAGATAAGAGATATAAACCGAATAATATAAATAGAGACGTAGAATATACATTTTATTGCACATTATCCTAATTTCAAATAAAGAAGGATTTTAACAGTATTCTACCTGCTTTTCCCACCGTTTTTACTACAACAAGAACGATTGTTTAGTGGCAGGATAGCCAGAATAATACTGTTGTAACAACAAAGTAAGCAACGCTGTGCTAAAGTGATACCGCCTCCTATATTACTTTCGTATCTGACAAATTTAAAAGACATTTCTCACATGAAATTGTTTAATGGATGATGAATTCAATAATTGCACCTTATCTTACTTTTGAATAATGCAGGATTTAAATTGTATCAATATTTGAATACATTTTTATTGCAAACATGAAATTATAATACATGACAGGTCAAAAGGAAATCAACTAGTTGTAACCCTTCGTTGTTCCAACCTCTTAGCCAATCAGATTGTCGGAAAACTCCGCTGATTTAAAAAAAAATTTGCGAGGGTTTCCCCCTGTTTTGATGTGAGGCAAAATTTTAAGCGCCGCTATAATAGCAATATAGCCGCTGCTATCATCAAATTTCCCCCAGGTGCTAGAGCATGCCTTACTTACACCACGTAGCTTTAAATTCAGGCGTTGAGACTCTCAATCATCACTAAAGTAAGTAGTGACAACCAAGTGGAGGCGGCCTATCTACCTCCTAGCCTCGGATAATGTCTTGTTGAGCTTCAGGGATAGGCACATCCACACAACGTAAAAAAAGGTATGCTTCAAAGAAACATAATAATAATAAAAGAAAGTAAAGAAAAGAACATAATACTATAAGAGTATAGTAGTATGTAGGCAAAAAAGAGACACTCACACAAAGTGGGTCAAAGAAAAGCATAGCAAACACAACATCAAAGATGTTCAAAAAAAAAAGCTCGTTGCTGTTGCAAGAAAAATGCATACATGAGCAACGCGCATGGTAGTAATAGTCGGATGTAGAGCAACATGATGACACGAATACGCACAACTGCAAAAGCAACAGTGGTATTATAAGTTTGCGATACAACATAATGACTAGTATTGTTTCATGTAAAGCTACAGAGGAAACACTACCAACAAAAGAAAAACAAAAAGAAAAAAGCGCAACAAGGCAAGCATCATGAATGCATTCTCACGAGAAAGGAAGCAATAATATAAGCGTTCAAAGAAGTTTTATATCATTGCGACCAGAAGAAAGAAGATACTTACCACTTACCACAGCCACAGATAGACCAGAAGAGTATAGGCAATTACCAGAGATAGACCAGAGAACAAGCATGCACCAAATACAGCAGACCAGGAAAGACCAGATTAGCAGTAGCTGCAGCAGCAGCAACACCAGCACTATAGAAAAATTAAAGAACGAGCACCATCAGCAAAGACCAAACAAAGACCAAAGAAGTTACTTATCACTTGTCACCACCACAGATAGACCATAAGAGTAGAGGCAATCACCAGAAATAGACCAGAGAACAAGCATACAACAGTTACAGTACACCAGGATAAACCATATTAGTAGTAGCAGCAGCAGTAATACCAGCACTATAGAAAAACTAAAGAACGAACGCCATCAGCAGAGAGCAGACAAAGAACAAAGAAGTTGCTTACCACTTATCACCACCAAAGATAGGCCATAAGAGTATAGGCAATCACCAGAGATAGACCAGAGAACAAGCATGCACCAAATACAGCAGACCAGGAAAGACCAGATTAGCGGCAGCAACACCAGCACCATAGAAAAACCAAAGAATGAACGACACCAGAGACCAAACAAAGACCAAAGAATCAATCACCAGACATGATAAACCAAAGAAGCAGACAGCAGAGATAGCAGACAAGTACTGGCAGCAGCACCACCCACGTCAAACAGACAAAAAGAATCATCAAAACCTAATAAACAAATTCAATTAGTGTTAATTCTACGCCTTCCAGTGCTCGTTATCGAATGGTATCTAATATATTTCACTTTAAAGAAGCAGTATGAAATACTTCTAACAGTGCATGACAGTGTTATCAGAAGATAGAGTGTTATTATCAATCAAACGGTTTCCAAAACAGCCATGGTTTGGTACTAAACGCGTTTGGCAAAAAAGGGAAAAAAAACGAGGGTATGGAAGAATAAGAGGGCGCCCTATCCGACGTCACGGCCAGTGAATCTGGTCTCAGTCTTTTCCCGCGGCAGCTGTAATTGCGGCAATTTAATATGAATTTGTGTAGTGGGTATTCTCGTGTTCAAACTTGACTTGATCTCACATCTTTTAAACGTTTTTGCCAAATCCGACTATGAAAACTGTAGTTATCATACCCAACTTTCTAATATACCTTTAAAGAACTAAAGAAGCCGCATCGAACGGCGCTGATTACATTTAGCTTTCAGACCGAAAATAGTGAGCAATTTGCAAAAATATGAAAACATGTTTTTTGCCAAAATGTCGAAATTTCACATAGGAAAATCTCATAAAAAGAGTTTTCAGTGCTGCATCCCGTCTTTACAATCAATTTAATTTTATATGTATCATAGGAAAAGTCTTCATTTTTTTGAGTGAAATACGCGATCGTTTGATTTTCAAGAATTTTCCCGTGTTAATACTCATGAAAAAACGATGATTTTCATGAATTTGCAATGTGCCAAAAAATTTTGAGATAAAGCATCAGTGAGTAAAGCGTGACCAAGGGGAGGCATGTTGTGCTATTCCAAGTGTCCACAACTCTCCGTTGCATGAGTTATTTGTGCTTCAAAATGGCTAAAGTTGGGCAGAATTTGACCTAAAAATGAGGTGTAATAAGTTGCGCTGTCAAAGAAGTGAGTAAATTACAGTTCTGTTTGATGACCCAGATATTCTGTATTGTACGGAACTCAATTTCTAAGTGATAGACTGATGCATTCACGCCACAATCCATCATATTGCACCTGATACCACACAACATCAACATCTCGTTGGTTTCTACATGCACCACAGAGCACACAGCAAACTATAGTTCACAAGCACAACAGGTCCTATCAAATAGTCAATTAGTTAGATGACTATTACTGAAGCAGAACCACTTACTTCAATGAAAGTAAGAGACTACAACTACATCTGTCTCTATATTCTCTACACATATAATTTACGACAATTTACTGGATCGTCATATTGGAATTCACATCTCAGGACCTGACATTCAGAAAAATACAACAAGGACCAACATGGATTTCATTTATGTGATATTAGTTATTCAACTCTTTGTTGAATATATCATAAATGCTTTTATATTCTAATCCTAAAGCTCATCAGATCTTCTTTTTAATTTTGAAATGCGCAATCAGAGTACAGTAGTCGCTCTATATAAGGCCGTCCTATATAAGGCTATGCGGGGAATAAGGCTGAAATCTTTCAGAATTTTTTTTACCAGCTATTTAG